AAAGCCCCGAGCCGGAAAAAAGCGGCAGCCATGTTCATGCAAATGCCACGGGGGATATTTAAATCCCCCGCGGCATTTGCAATTCCGACTTGTCTCATTAGCATCCCTTTTCCGGAAAAGGGTGCCAATGTAGACACAGCCTTATTGTTTTTCTGGAATAACAGTTGTTATTCCAGAAAAACGGTGCAGCATAGACGCACCCTAACTTGTTCCTTTCTAAGTGGAGTACTTTGTATTTGGCCTTATTAAAAACTTCATCCTATTTACCTCAAACCATTTCTCCAGATCATTTTGAATTATGACCCTATCCAAAGCACTTGCAACCCCTCCCAGTGTGGCACCATCTGCAAACTTAATAACCGTACTCTCTATGCCAATATCTAAATCGTTAATGAAGATATTGAACAGAATCAGTCCCAAAACAGACCCTGTGGAACCCCACTTGTTATGCCCTTCTAGCAGGATTGTGAACTGTTAATAACTACTCTCTGAAAACAGTTATCCAGCCAGTTGTGCACTCAATCTTATAGTTGCCCCATCTAGCTTGTATTTCCCTAATTTTGACTCCAGCACATCGAATAGGGAAAAGTGAGGGTCTGTTTGTAACATTCACGTATTTTTCCCTATCCCTCTCTCTCTCTTTCTGACCACCATTTGTCTACAGCCAATCCAAACCTACGTACATACACAGCAAGAAACTACAAATAAAGGATTCGGTTTCTTCTGTAAATGCCATGTGTTTATTGCCCACTCACAGAGAGTATTACAGCATTTATCTGACACAGTACAGAATAAATAAAGCAACAAAAATAAAAAACACATGGTTAAGCATCTGTTTCATTGACTCTGCAAAGTGTGCTAGACCTACAAAAAAATACAAGGACACTTGAATATTTATGGCTCAGTGATTATCAAGGAGCAGTGAACCTGGAAGAGAGGAGAGAAACCCTTAAATGTAGATGCTTATCCAAACCTACTGCATCCTTTCCTTCTGACAAACCTAGGTCTAACAATTTCACTCTAGATTTTTTATACACCACCAACTCCCTTCCAACAGACACCGCCCCCTTCTGTGGTAACATTCCCACAACACATGCTCCTCATTTCAAAGCCCATATGGACTCCAGGCACACTCTAGATTTTTGTCTGGTTCCTATTTCACCTGACCTGGAATGTGCAGCACTGCTGATGGATTCGTGAGATGTGAAAGAAGAAAGGAGCCCAGGCCCAGCAGTGAAACCAGAGAGCTAGTGGGTGGCTACAGTCACTCAACCCCCTTCCATTACATCCTTCTGAACTAGCATTCTTACATGCAGCCTGTTGACTGGCTTTCCCATTCCCACAACAAAGAATCAAGGCCCTCTCCCCTTCCCCAGGGGTGCCCACTGCCATCCTGCTCTTCCACTCAAGCTGTGTGGGAAGCAACCGGCCTGACAGGTTTATTGGGTTTTTTAAAGCTCCTTTAAATCTGTGCTCTGTTGCTCTAAGCTCAAGCCCCAGATCAGGTTTATTGGGTTTTTTAAATCTGTGCTCTGTTGCTCTAAGCTCAAGCCCCAGAGAGACTTCAGGCACCTCTTTGCCTCAGCCAAACCCTCCTACATTAAAGTCATTCGGCTCAGCAAGAGGCAAGGACGTTATAACCCCTATGGGAGCAGAGCAAATGGAATCCAGTCATTCTGCAAGGCAGCTTTCGCTTACACATTCCACACTATTGCAGTCTGTTGTAACAGGCTACAAGAAGGGGGAGGGAACCTATTGGCTTATTACTTATTCCTGCCTCTCCTCGAGTCAGGAACCAGCATGAGGCAGCAGGGGAGTGAAATCCCAACTGTCTATGGGTTAGCTGGGAAAAGAGTATTAAATGCAAAGTATCATTACAAACAATCCCAGGGGAAAACCTATAGGAAAAGGCAGATCACATGGACTGCTCTCCACAACGGGTCCTGTCCCTATATTGCCTCAGAGCCTGTAAATCATCCACATAAGTTTGCTTTCCATTACAATACACTATGAGATGCTGCAAGATGTCAAAAATAGTCTGAAGAGTCAGTTTCACAAAAACGGGAACTCTTGATTGAACACTTTAGGGAATTTAATTTCCGCCCCTCTTTCCAAGGGTCTGGCTTAGCTGCACCCAGTGGCACAAAGAAGATGGCTCAGTGTTTCCTCTTTGACAAAAAGTTTGTTGCAGGCAGTCACATCAGCTCGACAGCCTCAAGCTCCCCATTGGCCTGTTGCACTGTGCAGCCAACTCTGTTATTGAAAAGACGAGACAGGCTTCCCTTCTGAGAGCTTTTGCCCTGGGCAGATCGCTCCTTCTTCAGGCGATGCTGGTTTCGCTTGCAGATGCCTTGTACGTCCCAGATCCTTAGCGTGCCATCGTGGGAAGCTGTGTACAATAATTCATTGTGAATCTGGAACAACAGAATCATACTTAATCCCATATTGTACATTTCACAGTCACAAAGATCCAAATGCCACTTGGAAGTAAATGGGACATTTAGTCCTTTAACACTGAAGGCCCAATTCCCCAACTTGTGTCACGGCACACAGCATTCCAAGTACCCAAATGCCCAGGTAACAGGCCATCTCAGCTTGCACAGGACATATGGAGAAATCTATACTATTTGGATGTTGAGTTTTTCCCGCAATAAAATCCCCTCCTCACCTGAATGCAGTTGATGACGTACTTGTGTCCTCGGAAGATCCTCTGCAGGACACCTGTCTTTGAATTGAAAGCTCGAGCGCAGGCATCTCCACTTCCTGTGAATACTAACACAAAGGAGTAATGTCTTAGCAGGTTTTATGCCCCCCTTTGGGGTCTTGTATTTTAATTTTTCATATTTATTTATATTGTGTTTTAAAAACCTGTGTAAGCCGCCTCGATTATTTTAAAGAGAGAGGCTGAGTAAAAATATTTTTAATAAATAATAAATGTCAAGGCCTTTTGAGGACAGCCAAGTGACCAGTCATAAAGGAAAAACACTTTCTGAGTCCAACTCTCCACTTGCTCATACTAGCTTAGCTTCATGGACACCAGTAAGGGTTGCTTCCAGTTTGGTCCTGCGTGAATGAGAGACGGGTCATTCTGGGATGTATAAGCAGGAGTGTTGTTAGCAAAACACAACGGCTGCATCTAGACTGGCATGATTTTGCAGAAATACTTTTAACGGAAAAGTTTTTCCGTTAAAAGTATTTCCGCAAAAGAGCGTCTAGATTGGCACAGATGCTTTTGCGCAAAAGCATCCATGCCCAGTATAGACGCGCTTTTGCGCAAGAAAGCTCCGATGGCCATTTTAGCCATTGGGCTTTCTTGCGCAAAAAATTAAGGTGCCTGTCTACACTGGCCCTCTTGTGCAATATTCTTGCGTAAGAAGGCTTATCCCTGAGCGGGAGCCTCAAAGCATTTGTGCAAGAAGCACTGAATTCTTACATTAGAACGTCAGTGCTCTTGTGCAAATTCAAGTGGCCAGTGTAGACAGCTGGCAAGTTTTTGCCACAATCTTGCCAGTCTAGACGCACCTAACTAGTAATTCTTCCACTCTACTCAGCACCAATAAGGCCTCAACTGGTGTACTCCATCCAGGTCTGGGCACTCCTATCAGGGAAAGATGTGGACAAACTGGAGAAATCCAGAGGAGAGCAACGACAATTATTAAAAGTCTCAAAAGCTTGACCTATAAGGGAAGATTAAATTAACTCAATTTTTTCCAGGCTGGAGAAGAGAAGATGGGGGTGATGAGGAGAGAACACAATAGTCTTCCAGTATATAAAAGGCTGTTATAAAGAGAAGGGAGATTAATTGTTCTCCTTAACCATTGAGGACAGGACAAGAAGTAAGGGTATGTCTACACTACAGTGCTAATTCGAACTAAGCTAATTCGAACTAACGCATCCAGACTAAAAAACTAGTTCGAATTAGCATTTTGCTAATTCGAACTAGCATGTCCACACAGAGTGGACCCTGAACAGGGGGTTAAGGATGGCCGGAAGCAGTGCCAGCAGGGCATCAGAGGAGGACTTAGAGCGTGGAGCTGCTGTCTCAGGCTAGCCAAGGGCTGTGCTTAAAGGGACCCGACCCCCACCCCGGACAGACAGTTCTCAGGGGTGCCCCGCTTGCAAA